TGATTAGTTCTTGTGTCTTATTTAGTTGGTTATTATTAGGATATGCAGTAGTCAGAGTGGTGGTTAATGCAGTGTTGATTGTAACGTGATGATGATGATGCAGGACTGATGGTTACTGCTTCACTATGGCGGAGGAAGAGGAAGGAGGCTCGCCTGTGCTCACATCAGGATGTCTGTCTTTAGTGGGGTCAGAGTTTCAGTGCAGGGTGAGTCTCCTGTCTGTATGTTCACATGTTGGCCTCTGTATTTCTGTGTCCGTCTGTCTGTCTTTGTCCGTGTCTGTGTGCATCTGTATCTGTCTGTATTTGTGTTGGCTGTTTGTGTCAGTCTTTATATCTGTGCCTGTCTGTCTGTGTGTGAATTTCTGTCTGTCTATTATTAAGTCTGTGTCTGTCAGTCTACATCTTTCAGTCCGTGTGTCTGTATGGTTCTGTCTTTGTCCATTTGTGTGTGCCATATGAACACCTCTGCTCTTCTCATCAGGACACTGGAAACGCTCGTCTGAGGAGGATCCTGGAATGCTGCACCGATCAGGATTACTGCAACCAAGACCTTCATCCGACACTGCCTCCGCTCAAGACACCCGGTGAGAGAGACACACACGATAGCTGATTTCTTTTCTCTTTGCAATGATGGCAGCACATAATATTAGACTAGATATTCTTCAAGAGACTAGTGTTCAGCTTAAAGTGACATGTAAAGGCTTCACTAGGGTAATTAGGGTAAAGTTAGGGTAATTAGGCAAGTCATTGTATAACAGGGGTTTGTTCTGGAGACAATCCAACACTAATATTGCAGTTAAACTCTGCAGACCCGGTAGCGCACAGGTGTCAAACTCGGTTCCAAAAGGGCCGCAGCTCTGCACAGTTTAGTTCCAACCCTTATTAAACACACCTGATCAAACTAATTGAGTCCTTCAGGCTTGTTTGAAACCTACAGGTAAGTGTGTTGGAGCAGGGTTGGAACTAAACTATGCAGGGCTTCGGCCCTCCAGGAATTGAGTTTGACACCCCTGCGGTATTGGGTCTGTCACGTCATCAACATTCGCTTTCAGATTTAAAGGGCCAGCATTGCACCAGACCCCCGTAAGTGGTTTTGTTTGAAAGTGTAGAATCTATATTTTATGCACATATGCATTGCTTTGGTTTTTATTCTACTGTACAAACGTTATTCACATTTAAATACACAGTATTTTGGATACCCAAGCTTGGAATTGAACACTGGTTCATTTTCATATTTTCTCATATGACACATGCACAAGTTATAGCTCAAATGAAAGCTCTTGCCGGTGCTCATACGGTTCTAGCGTTCTTTTTACTGAATTATATTCACATATCAAACAGTTGTTGAATGAATCTCTGTGTTTCCATGGTGCAGAAGTGAAAACTATACATTCATGATCAATAAGCAGCCCCAGATAGCACAGACAGCTCATCTCTTACCTTATGCTGTGCACTTCAGGGCCATTTCTCCTCTGTTTTTGAGCTGATGTGCATAAGTAATGCTTTTATATGTCTGACGTGGTCCACACACAGTGAATTAGATTTGATCAAACAAAAGAATAGTGAAATATAAAGTCAATGATCGCTCCCTGTGGCTTGTACAGCACCTCTCATCAGCTGGAACACAATAACTTTTGCATAGATTATGGTGGAGACATTTTTCTTGATTTTCCTATGATTTCAGACATGTGCAGGAACCACCAACATTAATTACAGCACGCTCAACCACACACAACCTAAAAGATGCACTTTCAAACTTCAGTTCATAAAAAAAAAAAAATCAAAAAGCGCCTCTATTATAGGTGTTTATTATCACACAGACAACACATACAGATATTTTAAACACTTTCAATTGACCTTATACTAAAATGTGGAAGTGTGCCTGTTTTCGCGATTGTCTTAGAACTTTCCCGTTTTCAGTCGCCTATGGGAGAAATGACAAGGAATAATAAACGGCAAAACACGGTCAAACTACTTGCTCTACAAACAAATGTTTGCATGACTACACAGACCAAGTAGAATAATATAACAAGGAAATATCAGCAACATCAAACAGCGGAACGAGCAGTTTTTAATGTCTAAAAATGAATGGAAGTGAATGAGACCGGAAGTCTCGTGCCAAAAAGATTTAAATGGCAGCGCCCGCTCGTCTGCGGAGAATAAGGTCAATAGTGTTTTATGAAAATTCAAAATGTTTTTTTTTTAAATGATACCAAATTTTTGCATTTACACCTCTGCTTGTGGATTTGGGAAGCTTTTAAATTAGGGTGGGCAAATCCAGGTGGAAATCCCAAAATAACACTAGAGTTGGGCTAATAAAATTGACCTTAAAACAATTAAAAACTGCCTTTATTCTAGCCGAAATAAATAGCACACATTTATAAAACTACTTAGCAAAGTACAAATTCAGAGGAAAAACTACTCATTTACAGTCATTTTAATGTGTTTTTAATTAGTTGTTTTACACCTCTGGATATTTGGACTAGAAATGAGACGAAAACTCCTGCACACGCACACACTCAGAGTGGTGTTTCTGGGCTGTCCTGATGCTTTCTGACAGGTTAAACTGTTACAAACCGCAGGATTGGTGCTGCAGGGGCTGCTGGGGTTGAGCGTGTTTCTGCCGCTCTAATGAAAAGGACACGAGACCTCACGGGAGCGCTTGAGTTTCTGATATCTGTCCATCTGTCACAGTGAGACACCTCAGAGAGAGAGTGTGTGTGTGTGTATGTGTGTGTGTGTGTGTGTGATGAAAAGAAAAGTGCTGTTCATTGTTGCTGTCGTGCTAATATTTATGACTCCTTTTTTT